GCACAGATTAAAGTGCATTGCACATATTTTAATCTCAGAAGTTCAGGTTTTAAGTTGAAATCTATGATTCCACTGAAAATCTTGGAATGAATTTAAGGAAAGGAATATTGAGAGAGGAGAAGCAGGCTGGAAATAATCAAAGACTAATTTCTTTCAGAAACTGTTCTGTCCGTATATCACAGAGAGGTGCCTTAACAAGAGAGATGTCTATCAGAGAAAAGGCAGTGTAAGATCATAAAAGGAAAGATAAAAAATGCCTTAATAGAAGATGAATAGAAACAACTATTCTCAAATTTGTTTGAGAAACAAAGGAAAGAATCTCTGATGAGAAACTTAAAGGAAAAAATGAGCCTAGTAATCTTGAAAGAATTTGGTAACTGCCCTTATTTCAGTACAAGACAGCTAACCTCCAACCTAAATATTTTCTATTCTTTTTTCTCCCCATGCTTTTCTACAGGTGTCAGCACACATTCTCCAGCTGCCATTGATATAACAGTTGTTCTGAGACTTTGGCAGTGCTAGAGATATATAGAAACTTTACAAAGGCTGAGGCTGACATCGCCAGAAACCAGTCCTTCCATTCTGTGTTTAGGCAGCCTCTACAGCTGGTGGGAATCATAAGTAACAGCACAGAGTTTTAGGGGAGGAATAGCCATGGGTGAAGGCAAACCACGTGAGGCGCTTCTTATGGTCCTACACTTCAGTCCACGGTTTTAACAGCAGCTTCCTCAAAAACAGCCCAGGAGCAGCTGGTTGAGCTAGGGCATGTCTGAGAATTCTCAAGATGCCTGGTGAGTTTTCCTTACGTTAAAGTTTCATTACAAAAACTTTTACTCATCTCTGTCTGGATTCAGCCACCTTAGGACTCAAATTGATGGGCCCATCAAGCTCTTAAGCTCTTCCATCCTCAACATTGTGGAGTGCCCACTGAGACATCGGTGTGTTTTACAACTCAAATTTGCAATGCTCAGCTAAAGCCCCCAATTCATTAGGCTTATAATTAGAACCAGTTGGTGTTTTTCTATCACATCATGTTTAATAGACAGTTCTAAATATGGCATGGCACACAGCTCAGATGCCTTTGCAAGACAAAAAGGAATAGATATTCTAATTTTTAAAGTCAGTAAAGTAACTAGCTCCCAGAGTGGGTCACTTCCTCTTTCTTTTTTTTAATTTTTCTTGTGACTGTATGTGTACAGATTCATAGTACTTTCATTCTATATGTCAGCTATTTAGAGGATACTTACTTTATCAGTGTATCTGAACAACAGTGTCATATAAAAATGTCCCTGCAAAATATCCTGGCTCACAGTTTTTATCTGGTTAGGTTCCAGTTTCCTGAAACTTCTTACTCTGCTCAGATCACAAGCAGTAGTACTAAGGCCTGACCCAGAGTCCACTGAAGACATTACAAAGATGCCCATCGAGGAACTTTTTGTTATGCTTTTTTTTGTTGTTGCCAAAGATCAGTCTTGAGGACACTGTGTTAAAGAATGACTTTCCAATCCCTCTACAGTAGCTCTCATTCTGAAGAGGCACATACGGACCGCAGGTGGAGAAACCACCAAGCTAGCTCTGCATGTGCTAGACCCAGCACCAAAAGCGCTGGGGCCTAGGCAGACCAGCAAGCAGCACGGTGATGAAAAGCAGGGTTTACCAATTCAGCCACAGTGTCACACAAACTGGGCTCTGCTCTTTCTGACATCAGCAGATAAGTTCACATGGCGTTGAGCTGCGGTGGTTGGACTTGGGCCAGAAACTTGGCAAAACTGGGGATTTCTGACCCACTTGCTATTGTGTTTTAGAGCAAAGATATGCTAAAAGATATGTTGCATTTCTTTAAAAAGTTAGCCTTTCATTTCTTTCTAAGCTAATCATCTGTGGTCTAATTAGGCATGCCAGCATAAAGTATCACAAGACAAAATTTAGTCTGAGCACTGTATGAACTGAAATATGCACTGCAACAAATGACCAAGATGGATCTTCAACAAGAGCTTTGCTTGTTTTTTTGTTCTATTTAAAAAAGATATCTTCCCTTAGTGAATGTTCTCTGTAGTCCCTCTTGACAGTGAAAACTGGTTACATTCATTTACACATGCCAAAAGCAAATACACTGGGGGTCATTTCAGTTAGCTGTACAAAGATATGTGCTACGGGTCTTGATTTCATAATCAAGAGCAAAAAAAAACCCAGGTTACTAGATCTCCATAGGCAGCCAAACAAGCTGCAAAGTTCATTGAAACAAAATGTCATGACCTGAGCAGAAGCAGAATGCAGCATTAGTGAGATGGATCTTGAGTGTGTGTAAATCAGTATTAGGTCACTGTAGCCAGAAGTTACATGCTGATTCCTATTGCCTCAAGACCTGGCCCCTTACCAATAATGCAAAGATATCAAAATTTGACACCCCTCCCTCCACTCAGACCTCTCCACTCTCCTAACATATCACCAAACGAATCCCCATATCTTCATCTTATCCCCCTTGCTCATCCCAAATACTCACCTCGCCAAGCCTGTCTCACTCTTTCATTCCCAGCTTGCGCACTTTAGACACCCATAGGATCCTGTAGCCCTGTTTTTCTCTGATCTTTACCTTCCCTGTTCCTCAAGATCCATCTGTGCAACCTGCAGCAGCATCCCAACAGCTCAGGGAGAGGACCTGCCTCCATCATGGGAACGAACACCTGCAGCAGCTTTGTCCTGAAGCCTCCTTTCCAGCTGTTGCCACATAGCCTACAGTCTGCCAGCTACTGTGGCCAGGCAGGGGCTTTCGGAGGAGGCAAGAGGCTGTGATGCAAGTAGGAGGCATCTGAAAAAACCTTTTGGATGGTGCTTTGGCCTGGTACCATCAACTTTCTCTTGTCACTTGGCACAAAATGTTTCTTTCCTTTCTCACGAGCCTTCTTGCACCTCATGCGTCAGAGAAAAGAAGGTAAAGGTCAGTACTCTTTCTAATTTCAACAGATAAGTTCAAATAGCACTGAGGTGCAGGACATGCACTTGGGTGCCATCTTTATTATACCAGAGATCACCAATGCACCTGTGTTACAAAAGTATAACAAATATGTTATATTGAGAACCACTGAGGTGGAATTGGAGCAGCTTTTGCTTTATTTTGTGGAATAAATTCTCAAGTTAGTGTGCTGCATTCCCTCTCTGTGTTCCCAATAAGCCCTGCTCCTTGAGTAATACAGCTGATAGAAACCAGCCTGTGAAGCCTTCCTGAATTTGAGAACCCAAAGTAGCACAATCATTCTGTATGTCAAGTGCCTATTGTGGCAACCTGCGCAAATCACAGACACTTTAGTACCATAATCAGATGATACAATTTAGAGCAGCTCCCATCTTAGAGCTCAAGGCAGGCTAACTTTATTATCAAGGTGCCAGGACCAGGCTCACGATGCTGCTCAGCCTGCACTTCCCACACCAGTGGTCTCTGGCTTGAGGGGGAAACTGGGCTATGAATAACAAATAAGGTATCAGAACCACTGGTGACTCACTGAAAGTTCGCGCGATCCAAGATATTGACAGTCTGCCAACCATTTGATGATAGCTGTCACTCAGGGGCAAGATAAGAATGAAACCACAAAGTAACGTTGACTTTTAAAGGTCAAGGTACTTACAGTTCACAGGCACTGTGGGTGGAGTCTTCTGAACTTTCATAGAGGTTTCACTAAGAAAGGGGTAATTTAAAAATGTGGCTTAATTGCTGTTAACATTGGATACCTATCACATAGCGTTTTCAATACAGGTGAAACTAGCCTACCAGAGTTCCAAGCTTAACTGAATATTCCTTATATTTCCTATTTTGAATGAGCCTGAAGTCATAAAAATTTTCATCTAAGGAATGCCAAATTTATAAAAGTACTTGACTGTGCATTTTAGTGTGTTTTATGCCTGAAAGTGAGGTCTGTGCAATGGTATTGATATGAAGCAACCAAGGAACCACACGTGCGTATAGTTCATCATCTATATTGAGGAAGGTGGGAGAACTCCATGAGTTAATAGTTCTGTTTGAAAAGCTTTCTCTCTTTTTATTCCCAGTTTGGGTAGATGCTGGGTTTCACCTTGCTGTCCTAATGGTCTTTTCCGAATTGACAAAATGACATTCAGCTGATTCAAAAATGCTATTCATCGTATACATTAAAACAGATAACTTCCCTAGGGTTTTCGTTTGACACAAAACAGATTTAACAAAAAATCAGATTACCCTCAACATAAATGAGTTATAGTATGTTCACAGTGCTGGAACTCACAGAAGAAATGGAAGATTACAAACAGGCTAAAAAAGTCAGAGCCCATGGGAGATCTGTAAGTCCCTGGGCTGGAGAAGGTTAGGTGAAACAACACAGCCTGCAGGTGAGTCTTTGCATCTCTGGCAGGGGCTGCCCTTCTATGGTTATGCTGACTTAATTAAAAAAAAACAAACTGTACTTATAGTTGAGGAGAAACTCAACATTCTATGAAATACATTTTAAATAGCTCTCTAATTTATGGCAAACCTAGTTTTAAAGTTACCAGCATTAATTAATTCTTATTGGATCCTGTAGTATATAGACTTTTTTGTTAATGTCAGACTGTTCTTTAATTTTTAGAATTACTTTTATTACCTGGGAGCTTGTAAGTCAAAGTGGACCATTCAGCCAGGGTATCTGATTTCCTAATGAAATGCTCATTGATCAACTCAGATGGCTAACTGAATCAGTAGAGTTGTTTATTAGAATAAGCTGTACAGCCTTATTGCTTTGCCCTTCCTTTTGCTATCTTTTATTTCTCCTCGTGAACTTGTAACACCATGCTTAAAATGAGACATGAAACTCTTGGGAAAAGAAAAGTATTTTTCTGAATTTTTCTTGCAAAGCACTCTTGGACTTTTTAGGATAACATACAGTAGTTAAATGCATTATAAATTTTCCCCCAAAATTCTGGATCTATATGGCTCCCAAACAGGACTCCTCCTTGTCCTGCAACACTTCTTCTTGACAAGGTACCTGTACATCATCGAAAGTACTTGTCAAAGGATTTGATTTTAGTTGACTTTAGTGTGGTTTTCTGAAGGAAAATGTTTATGCTATAATAGTGTATGCATGCACATGTGCTCACTGTCCTTAATAACTTTGGAGCTGCCGGTCACTCTTGGCAACATCTGACAGAGCAGTGGAGCGCTCAGAGAGATTAAGTCTTGCAAAATTCATGGGAGAGAACTGTTTTGCAGGAGAGGGTTTCTGACGTCTGCTACTCAGGGTGCTCTTCTTCAGGGGTTCTCTGGTGTCTGATAAGATGCAGGCAGATTTTGAGGAGAGGGAGGTCAGGCATCTGCAATGCGCGTCTCTTCCCACTTATCTGCTCCTCTGCCTGCTCTCTTCTCCACTTCTAGTTACTGCTGGCATTTAACTGAAGATCCTCGACCTTGAAAGCATTTTGGTGCATTTAGTGGTTTTGATCCTTCTCTAACTACAGCCTTTATTTGATTGTATTAAGTCAAAATTAAAAAAAAAATCAAGGCTTTCAGGGATGTGCCACTGAAGAGACAGTAATTTGTATTGAAGATCGCAGTGTTCACATTCTTGTGAGAAAACTCTTAATGGCATCGGGCAATCCACCTCCTGTAGATTTTTCAGAACCCCATAACAACAGATTTGCCTTGTCTTGCTCTTTCTTTGGTTTGTTTTTGTTTTCACTTTGGCCTTTCTATGTTTTCTGTATTTTCCTCCTTAATCCTTAAATTTAGGATTAAAGCCAAGTCCCCGCATCCGAGTTTGCTGGATTAATCAGCTGTTGCTTCAATTTATGCAGGTGGGTTCTACTTTATTTTTGGATGCTTAGGAATTACTGAAACTTCAGCAGTGAAGATTTTTAATAAGAAGCTCGAAGTCCACTAATTAACTAATGTATTATAGTCTTTTTCACTTAGTGTTTCAGCTTTTGGTTTTATATCACTGCCTGGGGGGATGTATCTCTTAGACTGTGTGACAGTAGCCTCATTAGTCATGGAAATGGGCAATAACTTCTTAAGATAAAATCTTTCATTGATCTTAAAATAAAAGTTTTACTCTGAGGTCTTTATTTAATTTTGTAACCGTCCTTTTGTGTCATTATTGTCTACTCTAAATAGTCATACCACTTTGTGCAATGTGTCATTAGGACCTCCAGGTTGGATACACCTGGGTAAGGAACTACACAGCTGTAAAACTGTAAAACAACTGCAAATCTTGAAGTTTAAGTTGATGACATCCCTTCCCAGCAGTCATTTCAGAAGAAAAGCGCATAATGCCCTTATGATTCTGGAGAGGGCATCTTTCAGATATCTTTCATAAAAATACAGTTCTAACTTGCAACCTATAGTCACTAGAGGTCAGATCCATAGACAATTCTAGATGTCCAATTTGCGCTCAGAACTTCCCCTTCAATCAGTGAGATAATAGACACCTAAATAGGACTCAGTGGTTAGTTTCACAAGGGCAGTTAAGTTCAAAATTTGGCTTTGATGCCTGATCCCCTAGAAAAATTCATCAAAAATTACTAATTGGGATTTTTCTTTGTGGATCTGGCCAAAGTAATGTCCATGAGGATGCTCATGGATATGAGCATCTGGATATGTTCTGTCTAATTAAGTCCTCCTGTACTTTCAAATATGTAAGGAAAGAGACTAACAAAGAGGATCCCCTCCCTACTTCCTACTCTTTATCTTGTGAAATTAACCTGAAACTTTTGTTGGTTTAAATTAGTCAGTGCAATATGAATTTGTGAATTAATATTTTCAGGAAAATAGCATTTTCTGGAGAAGAAAATAACTCTTGAAAAGTTGTAAGCACTGCATGTGTCAGTTTTTAGTCATGTCACATAATGTACAGCTGAAAGTCTTGGAGATATTGTAATGATAATTACGATACAAGAAGGGTAAGATTGGGGCAGGACAGGACAGGACAGGACAAACATCCATTGATGAATACTCAGAAAGAATATGGTCTTAGGGCTGAAATTTGTATTCATACTGACTGGTAGAATAGCAATAGGAATATTAAATGATCACTTTTATTCAAAGACTTGGCCACATTTCTGAGGGATGTGAAAACTATTGCAGTTTGTTCAGCAGTCTGGGGTTATTCCATCTGCCTTACCAGTTCTTTATTTTCACCCTATTTCTTTTTCTCAGTAATTTTCACTCTCTAGTGCTTCACATTAGGAGGTCTCTATCTTCCCTGTCGTTGACTTTTAGAGTTATTTGTTCCTTATAGTGTAAATTGAGCTTATGGGAATGTGATACCATTTTTCACAAACCTCCTGGGGTCAGGAGGAATCATATCAAAGATAACAGTAATTTGTATATTATGTGATCTTGCTAAGATATTTAAGAAACAAAGTGAAAAAGTATGTCAGAAGACCTTTAATTGTTTGAGTCCGAAGCTTCCAGTACATCAGTAAGTACGACACAGTGTAGTGTACATGTATCTCTGCTGTATAAATATGCATTAGCAGTCAATAGTATCAAAGAATGTGCGGCTTTGACACACCCCTCTGTAACCATAGTTATTTCTCACTAGGTTACTTGAAGTTTCCTCATGTTATGATTTGAATTTTGTGTTTCTATGACCTAAAAATAGCTGCTGTATGGTCTGCAGATTCAGTCAGTTTTATAGACATTGTTTAGGAATGGAAAATTGTGTCACTACTTAGAAAATAATGCAAAAATCTCTGGTTTCCTTCATAGCTCTAAGTGAACTGGTTTGCTGAACTAGACACTGAGGTAGAGGACTTAGACATGCCATTTTCTTACAAGTTTGATGCCGATAAGTGACTGGCTAAAACAGGGAGACCGGTAAGGGACAGAGTGTAACATGAGCTCATTCTTAATTGTACTGGGCTGCCACATATGAAATAGGTATTCTGAATGTTTTAACTGAAGGAAAAGCATTGGTCAGAGCTCAGTTTGTTAGC